GCTTCATCCCCAATTAGGCCTTATCATCCATGATTTGAAACCTATTTTTGATGTTTTAAAAGGTGAACCAGACCCTACCTCTCCTAGATAGCTGTCTCCTGAAGCACAAGTCACTCTGTATAAAGTAGAATGTGCTATTCAGACACAAAGAGTATCTCAATTATGCCTGGCCTTGGACTGGCTATGTCCTTCATACTAAGCATTCTCCCATAGCTGTTCTTTGACAGGATGGCCCCCTTCTTTGGATGCATCTGCCTGTGTCTCCTGCCAGACTTTTAACCTCATATTATGATGCAGTTGCTTCTCTTCTTTTCCTACTTAGAAAAGAATCTAAAAGATATTTTGGTCAAGAGCTACAATATGTTGGAATCACTTACACTGCCCAACAATTGGACTGGCTTCTTCAGACTTGTGACACATGGTCACTTGCTTTGGCACATTTTGCAGGACAAATTGTCCATCATCGTCCTAACCAGCGTTTGCTCCACTTTGCACAGACACATGCTTTTATATTTCCCACATTTTTTTGCAAGCAACCCCTATAAAAAATGCACTTGTTGTTTTTACTGACGGACATGCTACCTATGTAATTGATAATCACACTGCCTTTCTTCATTTTCCCCCCACCTCAGCACAAGTGGTGGAATTACAAGTGGGCATAACTGTATTTCAACTCTTTCCTCAAACATCTTTTAATTTATATACTTACAGTCATTATATTTTTCAAGCTGCCCAGTCCCTTGAGACTGTTGCCTTTCTTGATCCCACATTATCCACTATACAACATCTTCTTTCCAACCTACAACAATGTATTCAACAAAGAACTCTTCCTTGTTTCATTGGAGATCTTTGAACACACACCAATTTATCAGGTCCACTTTCCAGGGGCAATGCCCTCACCGACAGAGGCACCTGCTTAATCACACTCACTCGCTTACAACAAGCTGAACAGGCTCATGCATTACATCATCAAAATAGTGCCAGTTTATGAAAACAATTTGGCATTTCTCGGAAAGCTGCTAGAAACATAGTTAAAAGCTGTCCTACCTGCCCAGAATTCCTTCCTGTTCCTCATTATGGGTTAAGCCGTTGAGGCCTTCTTCCAAATCATTTGTGGCAAATGGATGTTACTCATTATCCTGAATTTGGTAAGTTAAAATATATTCATGTGTCAATAGATACTTTCTCTGGATTTATTTTTGCTTCAGCTCATACTGGAGAAGCTACGAAATATGTTGTGGCCCATTGCCTGGAGGCCTTCTCTGTTTTGGGATTGCCTCGGTGCATTAAAATTGATAATGGCAGTGTATATACTAGTAATGGCTTTGCCCACTTCTGTACCCAATTTCATATTTCCCACAAAACTGGCATTCCTTATAATCCCCAGGGTCAAGGTATTGTAGAAAGAGCTCCTGGTACTTTAAAAGCTGCTTTACATAAAATTAAAAAGGGAGAGTTGTATCCCCTAACACCACATAATTATTTAAAACATGCCTTATTCGTACTTAATTTTTTTTAATGTGGACGAATAAGGATCTAGCTCAGCTGAATGATTTTTGGCATTCCAAAATACAATCTCATTATACCACAGTTATTTGGAAAGATTCTTTAATGGGATCATGGAATGGGCCTGACCCTGTGTTGATATGGGGTCGAGGATATGTTTGCGTTTTTTTCACAGGACAATGATGGCGCTCTCTGGCTTCCAGGACACTTGGTGAGGTTTGTGGATACCGATGTTTGTGTTTTTTTCACAGGACAATGATGGCACTCTCTGGCTTCCAGAACACTTGGTGAGGTTTGTGGATACCACAAAAGACCAGGAGGATGCTGTGTCTATGAATCTGCCTGAAGATGGTGGCACTCATTGGAGCAGAAATCTACTGGGCATACGGACTAACAAATTTAATGTCAGTTGTTCTAATTGTACACTTTCTAATTGTATTAGCAATGGAACCTCTTCTGTTTTTGTAGTATAGCAACCTTCATTTGTTATGCTTCCTGTAAATGTATCTGAAGAATGGTATGAGGAAAAGGGATTACAAGTTTTGCAAGAATTAGAATGTGCCCTAGCACATGACAAGCAGGAGGGGATAGGACTCATAATAATAATAATAACAGAAATTATTGCATTTATATCCATTTTGGTGACTGCAGTCACCTCTGCCATAGCTTTAACATAGACAGTACAAACAGCTGGTTTTGTAGAAAATGTATCCAAAAATATTTCCATTGCTTTACATACTCAAGAAACTATTGATGAAAAAATCCAACAAAAATTGGATGCCCTTTATGATACTGTTGTACATCTGGGAAACTGGGTAGATGGGTTACATGTGCATTCTTCTGTTTGATGTCATGCATTGTATCAATGGCTTTGTGTCACCCCTAAAATCTATAATAAAAACCAACATGATTGGGAAAAGGTAAAAAAACATTTACAAAGTGCCTGGCATGGGGCCAATGAAACAATGGACATTCTTACACTCCATCGAGAGATCTTACAGGTAGAGAATTCATGTTCCTCTCCCTTTAATGCAGCACAAGAGGCAAATAAATTGCTGCAACAACTGTATGGTCTCCTACCACACTGGACCTCTTGGCAACAGTGGTTAATACCTGCCGTTATGGCAGAAGGCATTGGTCTTGTGTTGCTGTGCTGTGCCCTCTGCCTTGTGCAAATAATCAGATGTTCCTTTCTTGGAGTTCGCTCTAAAATTCATCAGTTAAAACTTTAAGCCAAGGCATTAGATGCAGAGGCTGGTAGTCAATGACAGGTAAGATCCTTGGGATGTTTCTCAACCTAAGACAGGGGTTGCATACAAATATGCATTACCCGATGACAGGTAAGAGAAAATGTTACTAGGGACAACCTAAACCACAGCCTACTGCCTGTCAGAAGTGGCAGATTTTTTAATAAACAAAAAAGAGGGGGGGAGGTATGCGGAGCCAAGAAGGAGACTTAAGGAACATGTAGGATGTGACCACTAGATGGAGACCAAGGTTATTGTCCACACCTAACCTTGGGTGATTGAATTGTTATGTGCAGAATGTTCCAAGTATTGTTACAACAACCTGATAAACTCAGCAAGGACCTTTGAGTCCCATGTTAAGGAAGCCAAATGTTTCTGTGTAAAACACAACAATAAACTTAACTCGTGGCTGACCAGTATTGACTGGCTGTCCTCCTGTTTCTATCCTGTCTTCTTGTCTTTTCTTTAATCTTTGCCCCCCAACTCAGGAACTGTTCACCGTCGGCGGGTCCGACAAGTTGGACATGCCACAGGCTCTCTTGGTGCCAATCTCCTTCATAAGTCTTAAACAAAATATCTTAGTATTTTATGCTTTCTGGACTGGCCTGAATTTCGTTAAGTGCTCCCTTTTCATACCTCACTTCTTCTTAACTAGAATGATTTCTAAGCATTTGGGAAGCAATTTCTTCATGTTTAAAAGTCTTGGATTCATATTTTGGCTCTATTCCATCTGCCTGTATGATCTGGAGAAATACGTTTATTTTCTCTAAGTCCCAGAGACTTAGCAGTAAGATGGGACAGTAACGTACACATCAAAGGTTGCCTTGGGGGCAGCTCAGTGGGGTGGTGGGAACAGGCTGCTTGAGTGATGCTGGATTCTATGGAAGATGACAGGTTCAGGTTCCTGGTCTACCTCTACAGGGAGAGGGGTAAAATGAGATCAACAATGAGGTCATATGAGGCCTAGTGCAATCATACATCTTTCCTTTACAGTTTTTTGGTTTGTTTTGTTTTTAAAGAGCATAATTGTTTGGCAGGTAGTAGAATAAACCTCGAAGCTTTGACAGAGTCTGGCAAGTGCAAGTGCAGTCAGAGGTGAGGTCGAGGCTTGGGTATTGAAGAAAAGACAGCAACACCTTTAAAGTTTTGGGTAGAAAAAGACAATACACATGAAAATATTAGTCTTAAAAGTTAATATGGATATCAGATAATCTGAAAGATTTTAAACTTTTTCAACTGAAATCTTGACCAGAAATCAAATACATAAGCTAGAATAAAAGGAGATTCTTGTAAATGATACCACAGAAGCCTTGCAATAAATTGACTGGAGCCCATGGATCCTCAACTGATGCTTGGAAAGCCTCTGGCCCTGTCCCACAAGCTGATCTGAAAACTGCTGTTTCATTATACTGACAGCTATAGGGCTGGCTGGGCATGAGGTGGAAACAGACACAGTTCTGTGACAGCAGTCACCCTGCATTCTGTTTTCCTTGAGCAACTGGGATCAACCCTATTTTGCCTGAATATCTTTGAGGAGAGAAATTAGGATGAAACCAAATTTGGGATTGAGGAAAACACAACTTTTCTGAAAAACTCTATACTATTTTTCTCTCCAGACAGTTGAGAAGGCAGAAGAAAACACATTACCTTAACTCTAACATTTAGTCTGTTAATATTAAAAGAAAGACAGCTCTATTACTCTCTCAATTTAGTAAAATCTCTCTATTTTTTTCTATTTACCATCTTTTCTCATAAGCTTGTCTCACATAGAGAATGGAGGAGAGTAAACACATAACATTGTGCAAAATGGTGCAATAGAAAATACCTTCTGGGACTGGCAGGTGGCATGGTGGTTAAGGGTGCTGGACTCCCACATGGCTGACTGTGGTTCAAGTCCTGGACCTGGCAGCGTGCCTTCTCTCTCTGTGTCCCTCTCTGGTCAAATTTAAATAAATAAATAAATAAACAAACAAACAAACAAATAAATCTTCCTTCCAGCAGCAGGTGATTTTCTACTTAAGAAAGGCAAACATAACATCCAAGATTCTACTATTGATATTTTAAAGATGGATGGAAAGGCAATACTTAGATAATACAAGAAAATTCACAACTTTATTATTCTGTAGTAGTCCACACCAGTCAGCATATGCTAAAAATTCCAAGTCATTGTTACATATGAAGATTTCAGAATGAAGTTTCACCTGTCACAGCACTAAGAACTGCAGGGACACACACCCTTCTGCCAGCTCTTACAAACTGTCAGGAACCTGGGCTGTCCTGCACAGCATTGTTTTCAGGGCTGTTTGCACTTCCTTGGTCCTCAGGGTGTAGATCACAGGATTCAGCATTGGTCCAACCAGATCCATCAGAATCTGAACTACAGTTCCCAGCATGGGGCGGGGTATGGGCTGCAGGTAGACAGTGATGATGGGCCCATAGGCACAGAGGATGACAGCAAGGTGGGTGCTGCAAGTGGAGAAGGTGCAGCACCAGCCCTTGGTTATACAGACGCTCAAGATGGAGACCGTGATTCCAGTGTAGGAGACGAGAATCAGGAGGAAGCAGGTGAGAGACACTAGGCCGATGGTGAAACTCACCCTCTGAGCCAAAGACGTGTCACCACAGGCCAAGGACAGGAGGGCTGTGATGTCACAGAAGAAGTGAGCCACTTCAATGGGACCACAGTAGGGCAAGGTGAAGGTGAGGGACATCAAGACACTGGAGTGGATGCACCCTAACAGCCATGTGCCCATAGCCAGGGCCAGGTATACTTGAGGATTCATGGTGACAGTGTACCACAGCAGGTAGCAAATGGCAGTGAAGTGGTCATAAGCCATCATAGTATGCAGGAAACACTCAATACCCCAAAGGAAGTGGAAGAATAAAAGCTGGGAGGCACAGTCTTTGTAAGAGATGAGTTGGCTCCAACCCATGAGGTAGAGCAGCATTTTGGGACAGGTCATAGAGGAGAACCCAATATCAAGTACCAACAAGTTCCCCAGGGTTTGTGAAGGCGAGCAGAAGAAACGACAGCCACAAGGATGGACACATTCCCCAGCAGAGTGCAGGCATGAAAGGGCAGGAACAGCACAAAAAGTATAGTGTCCAGCCCCTCTGTGTGTGGGATTCCCAGTGGGATGAACTCTGTCACTACTGAGCAGTTATCCACCTCCATGAGCCTGTCCTGGGGAAGGAAGAGGAAGCAGAGCCCATGGAGGAAGGTTCTGGTTGATTTCAATGTGTGAACACCCTGGGGGATACTTTATAACTTAATGACTGTATTTTGGTTCTAAGTTATGGAATGACTACTTGTGACCCACCTTATAGGGTGTTAACAGCTAAAGACAACAATCAGAGACAACTTAACAGTTTCTGTAGAAATAGTTTTGTTGTACCAAGGCAGATATTCCTTATTAAAAAAGTATTTTTTTTTAATGTGAGAGCAAGTATTTTCCAAGGGAATACAGGGCCCCCAAAACATGACCCTTCTCCCCTGATAGAGAGATATCAAGCCTCAGAAACATATAAGGTTTTTTTCACATGTCTGGAGATATTACCTACACTTGAAAATCACTATATTTGTGAACAAATATTGCTGACAAAAGTATATTTTGTCCCTGTGGTTTCCTTCCTTTTGTTTTTGTTTTTTTAGGTTTTTGCCATAGGGCACATGCATTCACTGGGGAGAGACTGAGAGAGCAAAAGTAAGAAATCACTCCTCAGGGAGTCAGAGAGAGGGAAAGTGAAAAAGCAAGCCACCAAGGCCAGGGCTTGAACCACAGTTGGCCATGAGGGAGTCCAGCACCTTAACCACACACCACCTGCTGGCCCATCCTCATGTGTTTTTAAGGGCTAAAAGTTGCCATAAATGTTGAACAATCACACTATTCAGTTCAACACGCTCATACAACATGAGAGTGGTTCGTTTAGTTCTCTTAGTAACCCTTCGAGAGCAATGCATGACAGAGGAGACACTGGGCAGGAGAAAGCTAAACAATTATCCTAGGTGCAGGTCACTGGCAAGTTGTAGAACCAGGACTCTGAGTCCTCACCCTGCTTCAGACATGCATGTCTCCCTTGTACTGCATGCGTGGTGGATGTGGTGTGGCATTGGCGACCTTGAGGGACCATGCCCCGTGTAATCCATGTGTCCCTTTGATATCACCAGGTTCTGAAAGGTCTCTGCCTCCCCTTCATAAGAAATGGAAACCAACCTGTCTCCCAACTATCACATACGTACATATGTATGTATGTGTGTGTGTGTCTGCATCTGTGTGTGTGTATATTTATATATATGCACACACACTCTATATATATATACTCTCTCACTCTATATGTGTGTGTACATATATATACACACATATATACACACATGCACATATATGTGTATACACACACATATATAGCCTAGGAGAGTAGATGCTTTTTGGTGTTTACAACTCTATCCCCCATGCAAAGAACAATTCCTAGTGCAGAGTAAGTACTTGGTAAATGTTTGATGAATGGAAGAATGAATGAAGTCACTCATTGACTGCTAAGAATTTATTTGTCCTGTAATAGGACTTAAGAAACATTGTCAGACAGTGATTTCCCTAAACAACTTCATAAATCACCTTGATCACTTACCTGTTCCTCTATTGCTCAGTTTCTCTGAATATTTAGGACTTCTCAATTTTCCCTGTGGCACGGCACCCAGGGAACCTCTGCATCATATCTGAAGGTGCCCACACCCAGGACAAAAGCTGCACATAATATGTCCTATTGCCAAAAAGTCCCACTTGTTACACATCACATAGATACAAAGGCTGATGGGGCCCAGTCAGTGGCGTGGTGGATTAAAGTGGTTGGATCTCATATGGCTGACTGAGTGGCTTGAGTCCTGGAGCTAGCAGTTTGAACAATGTGCTGGGCATGTGTGCATGTGTGCACAAAATCCCTGAGAGGAGAATGGAGGCGAAGGGATTGCTGCATGGCTATGCCCCCGGGGGGTACTTTCTCACTTTCCCTCTCTGTCTATCTGTTTGTCTCTCTCTGGCAAGCACATGAACCTTATAGCAAAAACTTTTAAAAAGAGAGAGAAAAAGAAAAAAGGAAAAAAAAAAGACTGAAGGTATCCAGGCTTATTAGAGTTTCCATTCTTCGAATCATTTTGAAACAAGTCCAAGCTCCTGGTTATAAAGAGAGATGAATAGAACAGGGTTTGTGAACTGGTGGACCAGTGTGATTGGTTATAAGACAAACTAAGCAAATTATGTCCTATTTTTGTGCCCAGTAACCTCATGTCCCTGTTTATCCTGAACTCAAAATATTTGTAAACCAAGGACTCCAATTCTCTTCATTACATAGGCATAAGAGGGGTAGAAAAAGGAAATGAACATGACACCTTTGTGACTTACAGGAGGAAGTCTGAACCTTTTACCATCTGTCTCCCCAGGATCTTCAGCCCAAATTCATACCACAAGCCAGGGTTAGGGATCTCCTTCCACAATCTAGTGCTCTCTTTCTCTTTACCCACATAAATTTAGACTAGATAAAACAGCAGATGTGCATCTGTCTTCTGTAAAGACATCTTTTAATACAATAATAGCTATGGGTTTTTTTTCTATGTGGAAATTTAAATGTCCTTGGAGCCCTTGAGACACTACTCCTGAAAGGATTCTATTCTAAGAAGTTTTTGAGCAAAGGGAATAATTAAGATTGAGTAAGTGACTTAGTTGAAACAGAATATGATGATTCCCGTGAAATGAAAGGGATGGAGCCATAGCTACTCCTTTATTTATTTATTTATTTTTAAAATTTGCTATAGAGTGTATGCACTTGCCAGAGAGAGAAGAGAAAGGGGACTGAGAAAACACTCCCCAAGGAGATGGTCAGGATGCAATCCCTTCTCCTCGCTTCTCTTCTCCTTATTTTGGGTATGCATCCACCATGTGCCTGGTGTGTTTTTCAAGCAGCTGTGGGTCAGGGACTCCAACTGTGAAGTTGACCATGGGTGGTCTAGCTGCCTTTACCACCATGCCACTGTTTGGCTTCGTATCTTTACTTTTTACCCAATGATTGACCTAGGGAAGATATAGAAAATTTGAAGGATACAGCCCAATCTTAAGACATATGTGGAAATAATTTCCTTATTTCTAAAAAAATACACTAATCTCTAATTGTAAAGGAAATTTTTGACAAATCATCCTCATTAAGAGGTGTTGATCTTATCAAGAACATACCTTGAAGCTAATAAAGAAGAATTATAAACTAGACAATGTTTGTAATATGTATTATAAAGAAAATATGAATATTCATAATATGTATATAACAACTATGAATCAATTTTATAAAAGTCAAAATACTCAAAATAAAACTGAACTAAAAAATAACAAGTTTTCCAAAGGGATAAACTGAAATGATCTTTAAACATATTAGAAGATACTTAATTTTATTGGTAATCAAGGGTTATAATTTCAAACCATCAAACTGGCAAATATTAAGAAGGATGTTGAGATAAAGTATTGACAAGAATGGATGTGCTGGAACCAGCAGTTAGCGTAATGGCTATGTCGCTGGACTCCCACGTAGTCGACTGCAGGTTGAGTCCTGGACCCGGTGGCTTAAACTCATGCTGGGCACGTGTGCGTGTGTGCCCAAGATCCCAAGAGGAGAATGGAGGAGAAGGGAGTGTGGCATGGCCATCCCCCTTGGGGGGTGATTTCTCGCTTTCTGTCTCTCTGTCTCTCTCTGTCTTTCTGGCGAGTGCACACGCCCTGTAGCAAAAACCTCTTAAAAGAAAAAAAAGAATGGATGTGCTAATAATTCTTGAGGATAAGAATCTCATTTTTATAATAATTTTATTTTGAAAAGCTGTTTGGATGCTTTCTATGTACATTTCTCTATCTCTTGAACCAGATATAAAGAAGCTGGTTCATAATAGCAGCAAGTAGAAACCCCTTGCATATCCAACATCAGCAAATAATGCATGAGCTGTGGTCTTTGAAATTAATGAATCTCCAAAGCAAACTTGAAGGGAACAAAGACAATCACCTCTGAATCCATTCAAGTAAATCTCAAGACATGAGTGAACTAAATAATATATTGTTTAGGGTTGAATGCATTTGGGGTAAATCCATACATAAAAGAAAGATATTGCCTTAACAAATTTGAGGTTACTAATAACTTCTGGGAGAAGGGAGAAAGCAGAAGTACACAGAAGAAACTTTTGCAAGTCTGTTTCCTACACTTGCTACATGTATATATTTGTTCAGTATTCTTTAAATTGTATGATAGTCTAAAAATGTGTAAAATAGTTCCCAAAATACTTTACAACATAAATTTTTTGGTTTTTTGTTTTGGTTTGGTTTTGTCATTGGGCTTATCAGGGAGAGACAGAGAGCAGGAAAGAGAGAAATCACCCCACAGTAGGGATGGCCATACCACTCTCCCTTCTCCGTTCTTCTCTTAGGATTTTGGGCACACACACACACACACACACACACACACGTAATTTCCAAGCTACCCCACCCAAGTCTTGAACTGTGATCTACCATGTGAGAGGCTAGAGTCTTAACCACCATGCCACCTGCTGGCCCCCTCAATATATGTTTTAAGAAACTTGCTGAAATAAATGAAAAAAGCATATTATTATTTTAATTATATAAGTTTATTTTAAATACTATAAATAACATAAAGACATGTTTTACCAATTAATAAAGAGTGCGTCCTCTTTAATATACCTTGCATTAATTACAGAAGATGCATATTTTATTGACACATAGTTTTAAAGATGCTGAATTATGTCATGTTTGGTTGTTCACCAAACATCAGAGCATACTCTTAATCAACATAGCATTGAAAAGAATGTTTGCAAATTCAATTGGCCTTTATTACAGGAGTCAGCAGAGTCTGTCCTATAGGGCAAATCCTGCCCACCAAACCTGTTTTTGAAAGGGAAAGTTCTGGAAACATGGCCTCATCCATTTGTTTACACGTTCTCTGTGGCTGTTTTCATGCTACAACAGCAGAGTTGGGTATTTGTGGCAGATTATATGATGTACAAAGCCTAAAAGATTTACTATCTGGACATTTAAAGAGAAAGTTTACTCATCTCCAATTTGTGAGTGAGGGACAACATTACAGCTTTGTATCTACAGAATTGCTTCCCAGATTTTCTAAGGTCAGAAAGACTTTTACAACTGGCAACAATAGATTTTTTTTAAAAGTAGTTTAGTATATAAATGAGGAGGAGTAATCAGTTTCACCCACAGATGGACTAGTGACCTCCTTCTGACACAATCTGCACCCCAGCCAGCTTCTTCAGGGCTCCCTTCACGTCTTTGTTTCTCAGGGTGTAGATGGTAGGGTTCAGCATGGGGGTGACTACATTGCCAAAGATCTGCACAGGGGTGACCAGCACTTCACTCAAAGATGGCTGGGTGTAGATAAGAGCACAGGGCCCGAAGAACAGTGTGACTACGGAGAGGTGAGACACACAGGTGGAGGCCGCCTTGCGCCTCCCTTCAGCTGAGCGCATCTTTAAGATGGCAATGACAATGCGAATGTAGGAGGCAAAGATGAGCAGGAAGCAGGTCATGGGCACGAGGCCAATGTTGGTGAAGCTCACTGTCTCGATGATAAGGGTGTTACCACATGCTAGCTTGACTACAGGGAAGATGTCACAGAAGAAGTAGTCCACCTCATTGGACCCACAATAGGGCAGTTGAAAGGTCAGAGTTGTGAGAATCGTGGCATGGAAGGAGCTGGTAAACCAGGTCCCAGCAGCCAGCAGGGCACACACCCGGCGGTTCATGATGATGGTGTAACGCAGAGGATAGCAGATGGCGGCAAACCGGTCATAGGCCATCACCGTGTAGAGAAGACACTCGGTGCTTCCCAGGAAGTGATAAAAGAAGACCTGGGACATGCAACCCCCCAGGGAGATAACTTGGCTTCTCACTAGCAAGTTGGCCAACATCTTTGGGGTGCTCACGGAAGAGAAGCCAATGTCTAACACAGAGAGATTACAGAGGAAGAAATACATTGGGGTGTGGAGGCGGGCATCGGACACCACAGCTACAAGGATGAGCAGGTTTCCCAGTAGGGTGCAGAGGTAGAAGATCAGGAACACAACAAAGAGCACGGTCTCCTGCCCCTCTGTGTGTGGGATGCCCAACAAGATGAACTCTGTGACCAAAGTGTGATTCTTTATCTCCATAGATGTTAGATGCTTTCCTGGAAGGGGGTGGGGGGGGGAGAACTGTAAATTCATGATCCAAGACACCAAATTCCACTGATATCTACAAGTAGATTCCCAAGGACAAAAGTGAGGCTGCTGATGCAATTATCATACAAGCATTTATTAGTTCAGACTGCAGAGCTAGCATGAGTCCCCAGAAGGTGATGTGTGTCTGAGATTGCAGATTGAATGCTCACAACTTGACTGCAAATAGCAGATTTTTGTTTTACTATCAGAGAAGAGCAACTGACACACTCAAAGTATCAGGGACTACTAAGGCAGAGAAAGCCAAAGGAAAAAAGGAAAAAGAAAAAGATAGTACGGTACATTTATAGTTTACATAAAATTTTCATAATTATTATCTAGTTAAGCCTTAAAAATCCTGTAAGATAGGCATTAATACTTCCATGTCATAATTGATGAAAAAATCACAACTCATGGAAGTTAAATAACTTGTTCAAGTTCTCATACCGGCTAATGGCAGATCCAGAATTAGAACCAAACTAATGATTCCTTAATTACATCATAATTAGGAAAGAGGAAAAGGAACTATTAAAATGTGGTTAAAGGAAACATTAATATAGTCTCTGAACTGAAAGGAATATAAAAATAAAACTTAGTTCAATAATTTATTTATTTATTTATTTAGAGTGGGGTTTTTGGTTGTTTGTTTGTTTGTTTGTCTTTTGTCATACAGTGTGTGTGCTTGCTGGAGACAGAGACAGTAAGAGAGAAAGTTAAAATCACCCCCCAGGGAGCATGGCCACTCTGTAATCCTTCACTTTCATTCTCCTCTCAGGATTTTGGGCATGCACACATATGTACCCAACATGATTCTCAAGCCATTGGATCAGAAGCTAGAACTGCTTTTGACTCTGTGGGAGTCCACCACCCCAACCACCATGCTACTTGCTGGCCCCTGGCATGATTTTCAAGCTACCAGGTTTGTGATGTAAACCACAGTCAAACACTTGAGAGTCCAACATCTTCACAATGGCACCTGCTGGACTCTCACTCAATCATTTAGTTTTTTAATTTGAATCTCTTTATACATATCTTTTCCACACTGGCTTTGAACTACTCCCTGATAATTCTTATATTAACCCTATCCATTTGCCTGCTCTTATTCAGCATTCCAGACAGCTATATGAGAAATGTAACCATTATGTGCCCTACTATATTTTGTCAACGTACTTTAATATCTCATGAGCTCTCAAAGAAATGTTGATCCTCATGTTTGACAAAAATTGAGTCAAGGTTGGTCAAAGATCTAAATCTAAGGCCTCAAACTATAAAACCGCTCCTGAAAAACACTGGGGAAACTCAGAGACATTGGGTAGGCAAAGACTTCTTAAATAAGACCTCCAAAACACACTTGATATTTCTTAAATAAGACCTCCAAAACACAGTTGATATTCCCAAAATAGACAAGTGGTATTACATCAGACTAAGAAGTTTCTGCATCATAAAAGACATAGTAATTAGTGTGAATTGACAGCCCTCAAAATGGGAAAATATTTTTGTAAACTATGTATCACATAAGGGACTGATAACCAGAATACATAAGGAACTCAAGCAACTGTTCCAAAAAAAGATGATAT